TAGATGGGTCTGGTGAAAAGAGATGGGGATAAGATTCGTATGATTCAACAGTGAATAATTGTTATCATGACTAATTGCGACTGTCACAATTGTAAAGGCAGAAGTTTTGTAAGAAAAACAGGGGAGTAGTTAATCTTACAGTCCAGAAACAAGGGAGGAGAGCACAAGCAGAATGTGGGACCTTATCCAGAGAAGCAGCGATGCCAGAGATGGAGGCAGAGATGGGGTCATGGAGATGGGGAGCAGCTGAGGACTCTAGATTCATGGGAAGAGAGGGACTAAGAGCTGGTGGCCAGGAGGTCGACTTGCAGAATGTGCCCTTTGAAGGTGTAATTATTATACATGCCTGAGTGGTTTTTTGTTTTTTAAAAAAATCTAAAGCGAATAGAGAGAAATACTGTTAACTGATGGTTCTTGGAGGGGATTATAAGCACTGTAATGAAACAAGATGCATGATTTGTTGAATGTAAAACTGATGATCTGCCCTATAAAGTTTCACTCAATCAATCCACAATAAAAATCTTTAAAAAAAAAGTTAACTGATACAATATTCAATAAGAAAATCACTCAGCCAATGAGATGAAGAATATCCTTTTATCACCTACCCTCTAAACTACATGTTTTCAACTCAATGATCACGTTTTCCCCCTTCCTCAGAGTCAACATAGGTGATAATCCTTTGATAATCCGTGGGCCTTGTGGAGCTCATCAGTTGATAGTATTTCCTTTCTTTGAAAGCAGTACTACTGATGGGCTAGGCTGATAGTTCTAGCTGCTTGCTGAAATATGCACAAAGTCTTTCATCTTTTCATCTCAAGTTATATAATATTAGAAATAACATGCTCCCTTACTACTGGTTTTGATGCACTGGGAACAGCCTGAAGATATAAACTCTATCTCATTGATCATTTTAGCTCAAGAAATGTATGCTAAACAAATGAATGACTGAGTGAGATCTATCTTAAATATCTTTAAGTCTATTTTTTCTCTGACCACCACCACAAAATTAAAAAAGACACAATACTGAATTACCTTTAGGGCTCCATGGAGCATCATCGGAATTCTTCTTTTTCTTGTGTCGAGATTTCAAAGCAGGGTCATCATCATCAGATTCCAGGGATGGATAGACTGCAGGAAAAGGAAAAAGGAGGGCTATTGAGATCTCAACCCAAATGGTGAAAACAGAATGATACAAACCTCAGCTCTTCCTACTTTCCTACATGTGTACCTTTTACTTAATCCATTTTCAACTGCAGGAGTCCCTAAATATGCCACATACTTTTCATGTCTTTTTATCTCTGCTGCAAATGCCCTTATTGCAGCTTCACCTAATTAATTGCAATTCATTCATGCAGGATTCATTTAATAAGTAACTTCATGGGTTACTTTACTCATCCTTCAAAACTCAGCTCTAAACTCAATTCCTAAACGAAGGCTTACCTCACACTCCCCTAATCTGATGATGATGCCTGCTTCTAAACTCTCCACAACATCCTATATATAGTTCTACTGGAGTTATTTGTCATATAGTAAGTATTTCAGAGTTTATTAGTAAATCAGTTGTTCCAAATTCACTGTGAGGGCGGGATGTGTATTATTTTATTTCACACCAATAGAGTCTAACATAATGCATAGCAAGTGCTCAGTAAATGTGTGCTGAATGAATGGATAAAGAAATGGTACATACATTATGTACACAAAGGGAATAAAAAGACTACTTTGGTTGAACTGAAACAACACAACTGGGACTGAAAGCTCTAAATCACACACACACAAATTTCCCATCTAATACAAACATTCACAGACATACAGTTTTCTCACATACAGTGATAGGATTTAATGGAAAGACAGTCCAGAAAGGTCCTACTGATTGGGTCCACTCTACTAACCCAGAAGAGAAATAAAGTGAAAAGAAATAAAACTTCCTCCTTTCTCATTCTTCCCAACTATCAGCTTCATGCCCCTGTTCCCCTCCCCGCATGAATTATACTTCATCAAAGGAATCCAATTTCTACTTCCTTCCAGAATGGCTCTAGTGTAGGAAAACATGTCCATTTTTTTTAAAAAAGAGACTTTGCTGCCCCTGATTTTTTTTTTTTTTTAATTATTAAGCATCACTTAAAATCGGTTTTGCACTCAACCAATCATGTTTTGTTTCATTGCAATGATTACAATCCCCTCCAGGCACCATCAGTTAACAGTATTTGACTCTATCCCCTCTTTTTTTTTTAATGTACACAAAAACATGCAGAAATAGATTATTGTAGCGTAGTGGTTACGAATTGGGCTGCGAACTTTAAG